TATCAGACAAGAGGAAACATTACGTGACTATTAGATACTTTTTTTCTCTTCCTACTTTCTTTTCTACTGGGGTAAAATCTCCTTCTCATCTGAATTACTATACATTTTTCTTTTGTATTATCTTTCTAAGAAATAATGAAGCAATGTGAAAAACATAAGGAATTTTGAGTACAAGGTGGTATAATTTATATTGTGTTGTTATATCAGCCTTTTATGATTAAAAACTATATAAGAAAAGAGATTATTTTCTTTGAGTAAAATAAAGTATCTGTAGATTTGTTGTTTATTTCTTTGTAATGCTCTGTTGAAGAGGTGTTTTTAAAGTAGGGATGTTATTGCGATGATGGCACTTGTCAAGAAACTGCCAATTAAAAAAGCCGAACTTCCTTATTCACAAAACGGTATACAGTACATACGTACAAGACAGCTCTGTCTATCTGATTAACTGGCTGCAGATCTCATCACTAAGGGATACTAATGAGATGGAAAATGAAGCTTATTCTGACTAAATTACCAAAGGATCTCTAGCAGAGAATGATACAACACAAATGCCCAGAATCTCACAGAAAATGTGGGACAAAATACTCTGTAATTTGAAAGGTTTTAATGCGAAGAATTTTAATAAGGGAAATGGATAATGAAAAAAATATAATTTAATGTAAGACTTAGGATCTCTAAGGGAAAGTACCTCAAAGTACTGGATTAACCTCACGACTTTTATTGCAAACCAGGGTCACATTTCCTGGAGGAAGCCATAAAGGCAGCCCTAGGCTACAATGAGACAAGCTACCTCACTCCCAAAGAAGTCAAAGACTGGAGCAATGATAATAACATTTCTAATGTTTATTGCCTGGGGAAAGATTTTCAAAGGTGGCATGAAGCCAAAAATAAATTACTTTTTAAACAAATCCCTGAACCTTTGCTCTCAGTGGCTCCCCTTTGGTGTCTTGTCAAATGTCTCCAGTGTGATAGCCCTCTTCATATTAAGATTGGTGCATCCATAATTTATCTTAGGCCTGGCAGGGATAATTCTTTTGATATCCCATTCCGAATTTTTCTAAGTTACAAGAGCAGCACTTATTTCTGTTATTAGCAGCACCTAAGCCAGAACTAGTTATGGCTGTTACAATGAATGTGTATTTCAGCCTAGAAATGTGTCATTAAGGAAAATGAAAAAGGACTGACTAAGCTATTACAAATATGTAGCTGTTGTTTTTTTCCTCTTCTTTTCTAATGTGTAGAGCAAACATGGAAATTGCATAACATAGAACATATACTAAATAAAATCCTCATACATACCAGTTATTCCAGGGTGTACTTGGGTAAATCCTTTTAAAATTCATTCGAGTCTAATTAATATCTGATATATCATAAAGTTTTGTTCTATAGTTTCAATATGTGCCCCAAGTCAAATCAAATAAACTAGAAATATAAAGAACATTAGTTTGTCACAAAATAGAATTTCAATTCACGCAGAATCCTTTTGTATGCACATCCTACAATAAGTAAAATTCACATTTTTCAAAGAAGTGGGCAATTTATGATTCTTAATAGATATGAAGCTAGCAACCCAACACTATTAAGGCTATATCAGTTGCCAAAAATCATACAAAACAAGAAACCATACCATTATCCAATCATCAAGATGAAGTAGACCTGCATTCAGGAAAGAGTAAAAAAGAACCATCAACTGGTATATTGCAGCTAAAAATATAAATAAATCAGACTCCTCACTTGAGCTACATATGGTTATCTTTTATTGCAGATGTTTTCCATAATCTTCATTGCCTCTGTTATAAATGGAATTTGATTAGACAGGGCAAAAAAGAAACGAATGCAGTGGTAATGGCTGCCAAATAATGAAGAAGACATTTCCTATCACAAAATCTATGTCACCCACAACTAAGATATACAACTATGTACCGGGGGGATTTGGGGAGATAAAGCAGGAAAAAAAGTCTATGTCATTTAAATCATTAATTAAGAGTGATGGGAGAATATAGGTATTTTCAGACATTCAAGGATGTATAAAATTTGTGTCCTATAAACTCTTTCTTAGAAGGTAACTGAGGTGGTACTCTAGCACAGTGAGAGGATAAAAGTAGCCAGCAAAGTTTGTATGACTCAGGAGATTATTGAAGGTAGGTCCCTAAACAGCATCTCACAGTACAGCTTAGAGCAGAAGGACAGGAGTCTCCAGGACAAGATAATAATGAAAGGAAAACTCCATAGTGTAAACCTGAAATTCATATAAGACTTGCCATAAAAATAAAACAGTAAACTATTTAATTAAACATAAATAATATTCAATAAGCAAGCAGCTATAAACTCCAGGAAATAAAGAAACAAACAAAAAGCCCTAAAAATGTTATGGTAAAAATTTAAAGCAGGGGCTGGCCCCGTGGCCAAGTGATTAAGTTCACGTGCTCCACTTCCACAGCCCAGGGTTTCTCTGGTTCAGATCCTGGGCATGGCTCAGGCCACAACAAAGCAGTGTCCCACATAACACAACCTGAAGAACCTACAAGTAGAATATACAACTATGTACTGGGAGGCTTTGGGGAGAAGAAGAAGAAGAAGAAGAAGAAGAAAAGAAGATTGCCAACAGATGTTAGCTCAGGTGCCAACCTTTAAAAAAAAGAAAAATTTAAAGCAAACTAAAATAGAGCTTCATTGTGAGGAACTCATTGAATGTCATCATGACTCAATTTATCTTGAGCACGTAACATTATATTTTGCGTGGCATAGCAGAAGTGACATTGAAAGAATTATGATCATAGTATCCCAGGGTCTAAATCTAACTATCATAAATCCAAGAGCGACACTTAGATTTACAGTGACCAATATTTACATGGTTTAATTTCCTGAAAAAAATATAACTGTTTTTTACCTTTGGGAATCAACAATGAACACATCAAAGACTCCTTAATTAAGATTAAAGGACATAAAGTGTATGTTAGAAGTTTTGCCAGAAGAAAAATACAGATACATTGCACAGAGGCTGGAGGGAAGAAGGGGAGGAAGAGAGGTCGAAGGGAGAGTCAGAGTCTTCATTTTTGAAGTGGCCATTCGGAATGTTCTTTTGTTCTCAGGTAACAAGAAATAAAAGATTAGGTATGATTTTTAAACTTCCATAGTTGAGTAGCAGGTAAACCAAGAATTCTTACATAGTTAAGTTAGAAAGAGGAGAGGTAAGAGGAGGGATAGTGTTATAAATTTACATATATGAAAGAAAGTGATCAAGAAAAAGTTGTTCAAGCATTTCAAAATTAGTTAAAAAAATGTTTGTCTTTGAGGATTGGAACTGGGAGCTGAGAAGCGTAAATTAGGACACACTTTTTAATTAAAATTCTCTGTGCTATTAGATTTTTTAAAACGTGTGCTTATATTACTTTAGTCAAATTATGAAACAATTTGAAAACAAAAATTTCATATAAAGGGAGATATACAGAGCAGTAAAATTCTTAAGAATGGAAAGCATGATAGATTTGTTAGTGCCGTTCTGTAGTTCCCTCAGTTGTTAATTCCCTATCAAATTCCCTAACGTGGCTTATCCAAAAAATACTTACATAACCTCAATTTCCAAAATTTTATGCTCATCACTCAAGAGAAAGTCCTCCTTGTCTCTATTTAAATAAGAAGGTGGACGCTATCCAGAGAAAACTGCTTAAATTTCCTTTTTCTCACCTCAGAATGCCTGTTCAGCTCATGTCCATATTTTCTCTTCTGCTCTGATAGAAATGTATCTGTTCTTCTCTAAGACTAATTCTTATGTAATCACACTTAGTTCAATCTCAAACATCCGATCGCCTTCTAAACTTAATCCGCTTTGTTTGGCCTTGATCTGTGCTATCTCCTTTCCAGCCCACTAACATGTTCCAATATTGTGTATCAGGTTGACACTTTTCAGATACCCTATGTTTCTTCCCTTCTCCCTCTCATACCCAGTCTTATACTAAGGATAGCACACACTTGCTGCCTATATTTTCTTACCTTTTCAACTTATTTGATAAGCTCTTAAAATCTAACATCTCTGTTGATCTAAAGAAATTACTTTTTTATAGGCGAATACCTACAAATGGCACGTGAAAATAATTTTTATCAGTTTTTATCTTCATTGACTTCCTCCATCTATCAGTTTGGATCACTTGTTCACGAGTGAGATTGTATTTTTTATGCTGCTTCAACAGTTTGCCCTTGTGTCTTTTTGAACTTGACTTCTCTGTTTGCCCTTCTTGCTCTTCTTAAACCCTAAATGATGTCACTCTAGAAATTTCTTCCTCAAATGTATTTTTCCTTTATCTATGTTCTCTCTTTATGTGTTTTCATACATTCCACAAAGCTGTATCTTTACTTATGACTTTGTAGGTATAGTGCTGCATTTGAAGCCAAAACCATACTTTAATTCATCTGATCTATTATTTAACTCGTTACCTTTTGCCAACAAACTGATTTCTCCTGCTGACTGTTTATCACTGATTACTCTTTCCATCGACTAAGCTTGAGACCTCATGGGGCCAATCTTGATTTCCTGGCTCTCCTCATGGCAAACGTGCATCCATTTGATTAGTCCTATCATTCATGTCCTTGTAGTGCCTTGCGCATTTATCCTCTGCTTTATATTCTCACTTCCTCCATTGTCAGCTTCCACATTTTTTTCTTTTGCTTTAATTTTTCACATGTATTTATCACTCAATCCTAGTTCTTAAAGCAATGCAGATTGATGGAAGATATATTTCAATAGCTTTACCCTCACAATCTGACAGGGCTTGAATATAAGTCACAAAGTCCATGGTTTATGACAGATGCTGGAGTTGGAAGCCAGCCTACATTTCTGGGCTCTGTTTTGCACTAACATTTTTTCCTCTTTTCTAACTAGCAGATAAGTTCAAAGTACCCTCAAGGCTACAAAATTCAGCACTCTGCTTTCCGCCTGAACCTGGCTCAGTACTCTGGGTTTGGTTTCAGATTTGACTAACATTTCTCTACTCTCTTCCCAGATTGCCAATGAAGAACAGTATTCTCCTACTGGATTTGGGATCCCACGGTAAACCACAGTTTGTGTCTGGGGCACTTTTCTATTCAGCTTTCTTAGGTATGTAATATACTTCTTACCTATCCCCATCCTCTGGCAAAAGGTCTACTGCAGTTGGACAATGTCTTTGATAGGACTCAACAGGCTTGTGATTTTAATCTGCAGCATGAGTTTTCCAATGCTGTTGTGTGTTTATATTAGTTGTAATACTCAGCACCAATGGTGCCCAAAGTCGTGCCCAAGATTGCTATGTTTTTAGATACTGTTCATACTACTCTCCCCCGAGACCAGCCTTTAGAGCTGATTTAGCTCCTTTTGCTCCCCCCTTACCTTAGTGATATGTAATCCAAGGTAGGTTTTAGACACTCTCCTCTCCCATTGGGCCAATTGCTGTGACCCCACAGTCTAAACATAAATAATCCTTCTATCCTGATTCAAGTCCTTCACTCTCTCTCCAATAGCCATACCTGTTTAATAATATTTATTACTTATAGTTACTCTTCTAATTCTCCTTGTGTATTACTATTAGATTGGTTTTCCTAAGAGTGGTGACTATTCATTTATATGAATTATTATTTCCTTTATTGTTCATTAATTCAACACATATTTATTCATTTAGAAACACTAAACTAATCCTATATTCTCTTTCGTGATGGGCTTCAATGGCTTTCCATTTTTCTGAAAAATGAAATACAAAACCCTTTTGTTTCAAACTACCTTAACTGTATTACCATCTTTACACACAGCCCGTGTTTTAACTACACTAGATTCCTCATCTTTCTACAGTAATTCTACACACTTAGTTATAACATTTCTTCCATAGGAGTTGCCATCCTCCTTCATATGTATAAAAACCTTACCCTGTATTTTGCAGTTCATATCTAATTCCAAGAGGAAACCTTACCATATATTTGACTATTAAAGTAAGGGAAATCACTCCCTTTCTAAAGATTTTATTTCCCTGCTTACTAATCTTACAGTCTTAATACCTCAGAAAATCAGAAAACGGTGAAACAATTAATATGAAGTTGTTACTTGTTATATTTCACAAATGGTAAATTATTAAAGAATATTACTATATTAATTCTGAGTACATGTCAGCTTTTGTAATTTAAGTATAATGGGCACATGGTAGAATTTAATTGTGCTTAGTGTCCTTCAGAATAGTCTAAGTGATTATTACAGCAATAAAAATATCATATTGGTATTGGTTAAGGATTAACAATTTTTTATGATTCATTAAGAACATACATTTAGATATGGTATGGCTACCTTTCTGGTCCTCTCTTTTCCAACATGTTAAAATGGAAATATTCAGTTTAAAGGTAATAAACAAACAAAAGTATGGTCACTACAAAAAGTCAAAGATCTGTGTAGCTAATTATCCTAATGCTGTTAATAGTACAAAGACAAGCAACTCAGAAATTATTTCCAGCTTTTACTGATTAAGAAGAAAAGATAATGATCTTGTTTTAAATCCTAAAGTCATCACTAAGGCTTGGGGCAGAACTTTGGCTCACATACCAGTTATGTACCTGCCTTTATTATGTGCCATAAGGGCTCTCTGAAAATATGCATAAGTACCCTTATCTAAAAAATGTGATATAAATTTGATATAAGTGGTTTCAAAGCAAAGGGTAGGAAAGTATAATATATTTAAGAATTGCTAATAAAATGAATCCATGAAACAATAAAGTAAAAAGAAGTTTTCTTTCCTTCATTCAATAAATACAAGTAGAACATAAAGAATAGTTAATGAGACAGAGAAGATTCTTGCTTTCTTATATTCCTTATTTTAGTAGGAGAAGGTAAATAATAAGCTGTTAAATAAACATGATAGTATTATATAGTGATAACTGATAGGAAGAAAATACAATAGCCTAATATGAAAGTGAAAGGGCCAACAAGGGAGTTCCTTCTCATTGAGGGGTCAGGGACAAATCTCTCCAACATGATATTGGAGCTGAGAATAAAACGCCAACAAAGAGTCAGTTATGAGAAGATTCTAGGCAATAGCAAGTGTGAGGCCCACAGGTGGGAATGAGAGTTGGTTTCTAAAGAAAATAGAAAGTTAATGCAGTTTAATAAAACTAAATGGGCAGAGAATGGCATGAAATTAAATCAGAAAGGGATGAATTCATAAAGAGTCTTGTAGGCCATGTTCAGGTGTTTCAATTTTGTTCTAATATTTTATTAAGACATTGTCTTCCTTAAGCTAAAATAATGTCTAGCTGGCCTTTGACCACAAAAGTCTATTTCTGTACAATGTAAAACAAATGTATCCTGAAAACCACAGACACCGTTTCTTACTCTTTACTCATTTTAACTTATGGAAAAATATACATGTATAATTTTATTTCATTGGATTTTTTGCCATTCTATAGAGTTAAACACTGTCTAAATTTTTAATTACGCCTACATCTTACAATATTTACTTTAGCAAACAGGTGAGGATATTTTCGTACAAGGCTAATGTTATTGAACAAACCATTATGTTTGCTAAATTAACTGTGTCATACTCATAACTACTTAAGTAAATCAGGTTCGAGAACCAAATGGAATGTGTCAGGTTGAGACGCAGAGATTTCCATTTTCCTCTGAGATATGACCTCCAGTACCATTGGTAGAAAGAAAGAATGGAATTACATCTGCCCATGCCAATCAGCGTGAATATAACTTAATTTGTTGATCTGGAATTTTTCTTCTCTGTTGCTGAACCTTAACAACATAAACACTAGGGAGTTTGATTTACAGTGTATGAAATGTTGGTACACTACTGCTTTTCATAATATGAGAGAATAAAATACAGCAGCCCCCTTTTATACATCCACCATTCCTTAGCACCTCTCTTTTAGCTCTTACACACATGGCCAAGCGTTTGTCTCTCTTGAGAATTTCCCTGGCACAGCAAACGAGAGATTGATGGTGTTGTTTGTACCAAACATGTCTAAAACAACAAAAGCACATCTCTTTTATTATAAAATCATATTTACCCGCTAAAGTAACAGTTGAAGTTTTTGTCATGATATATCACTCTTAAATATGAGGATTTTTCTAAACTGAATGAATAAAAACATAGAGAAATGATATTTTTCAACTTTAGTCCAGTATACATTAAATAACTTCCTAATACATTATTTGTTTACTTAAATGCATAGTTACTTGCAACACCATGGTTCATTACTTCACTTAGACGAAACTCAACATATTTGATGAGTTACCTAGGATTAGGAACTTCAGATTGCCAATAATCTGGCGTCTTCCTTTATTTTTATTTTTTATTGTAAAAATAATTTTTAAAACATTAACTGTATTGTGTACATTTTCATATAGATATTCTAAATCACACATTTTAGGGGCATGATACGGTTGCTTGGGTAGCTATTTTGCTTCATTGTTTAAAGACATTTATATTGGTCAGCAGAGGAAAGGCTGTGATAAGAAGAGAGAGCAGTTCAGACCTAAAACATCCTAGTGGCTTGAAACAATAAAGGTTCATTTCTCTCTCGCAATAGACAACTGTAACAAGTTGGGTGGGGTGCCCGCCATACATCATCCTCACTCAAGGACCCAGGCCAGGGGAGGCTCCATCTCTCCTGTATGATTCCGTGATTGCCCCAGAAGAAGAAAGGGATCATGGAGTCTACACTCTGACTCTTAAAGGCCCTGCGCAGAAGTGACACATGCCATTTCTGCTCTTATTCTTTGGCCAAAGCAAGCATGTGGCCACACCTAACCTCAAGCAGATGGGGACTCCAATATCTCTCTGCCCAGTGGAAAAAACAGAAATATTTGGTGAGCAATGCTGATGACCAACACAATTTCTGTTTCCTCCTTGTTGAATCTCAGGAATATATACAAAATCCTACTGTCCAAAAACTTATTCATAACCTATCTTCAACTGACATTTCCAGTCTAATCTCCATCATGCCCTCCACACTCTGTGTACATCCATGTCAAAATTCTCATTGTTCTCTCAACATGCTGCAGCACTGTATGTCTTCATGATTTTTCACATACTGTTTTCATGTCAGACATTTCCTTCTTTTCTTCTTCTCCCTATTGGTCTCAGAATCATTCTTTAGGACATATGTCCAGTTTCAACTTTTCTGAGAATCTTCCTTGACTCAGATTAACTCAGTTGCTGTATTCTGAGAAGCCACAGTACATGTAAAAATATTTAATTATTTTAAGTTCTTCCATCTAGAATTTAAGCTCTATGGCATTGATTTAATTATTAGTATTTAATATAGAGCAAAAAATGATGATGAAGTGGATTTCTCAGATGAAACACACTTTTACTTGACACATACATTATCTTTCCATTACCTATGATCAAATCGTGCATAGCTACATTTGCTTGTGACATTTACCTATTGGTCAAGATTTGGAAAATTCTATCCACAGGCCAAGTCCAGCATGTCTCCTGTTTAAGATAAAATTTTATTGGAACACAGACATATTTGTTTATGTATTACCTATGGCTGCTTTTGTACTACAACCAAAGAGTTGAGTAGTTGCAATGGGGACTGTACTTGCCAGAAAATTCTAAAATATTTACTATCTGACTGCAATGGACTGGATGTTTGTGTCCTCCTCCAAATTCATATGTTGAAATCTTTACGTCCAAGATGATGGTATTGAGACACGGGGCATTTGGGAGGTAATTAGGTCCTAAGAGTGGAGACTTCATGAATGGGATTAGTGCCCTCATAAAAGGGACCCCGGCGAGCTCTCTTGCCCTCTTTCCGCCATGTGAGGATACAACAAGAAGATAGCAATCTGCACCTGAGAAGACAGCCCTCACTGGAACCCAAGCATGCTGGCACCCTGATCTTGAACTTCCCACTCCTCAGGACTGCAAGAAATAAGTTTCTGTTGATTAGAAGCCACTCAGTTTATGGTATTTTATTATAGCACCCTAAGCTAATCCCTAGGGACACTGACCCTTGACAGGAAGTTTGTGGACCCTCTAACCTAAATAAAAATGTGACCTTCACAGTATAGGAATGTAGTGAAGAAAATCAGTATTTGTTAAACTTCTTCTACCAAGCACCATT